ATCCGACCGAACTACAAACTTTCCAGTGATGTCTGTGAGAAAGATATATTCACTCGACAAGCTCGCGCATCTGCGCCGCCGCACGCTCAATCCACTCAGCGTGCTTTGTTTATCAGCTCGCGCACATCAGCTATACAGGCGTTAATACTGAATGTTTAACATTATATTCATTGCATACATATACTTCGTAGTAGACATCCTTAACTCCTTTCTGCTGTCTGTTGTTCTGTTGTCGGTGTTTCGTTGCTTGAATATTGCACTTATCACATGCTGTGTGGTATCGGCGTTTGGTATCGGGGCATTTTAACGAGTACGAGTACGAGTACAGGAGACCAGTATCGGGCCCGATACCGATACCAGTATCGGTATCGGTGCATCCCTAATTTAATCCCATTTTATTAACCAGTATCTTTGCTGCTGACCTTCGATGATCAACCATAATAAGCAAAAATGACTTTAGATAAACATAACATTTGTGTTTCTATTATTTTTTTTTTTGTTTCTGAAGAGAGAAAAATTAGGCTAACGCAGATGAGAAAAAGTAACGCAAAAGTAATGTAACGCATTACTTTCCATAAAAAGTAACTAATTAGTTACTTTTTTTAGGAAGTAACGCAATATTGTAATTCATTACTTTTAAAAGTAACTTTCCCTAACACTGGTCAGAATTGCCTACAGTAAATATTTAGATCGCAGAATCTATCTTTCTTTCTTTCTTCCAGAAATTCTTGTTTTAATATTTCTGAAAATCAAATGAAGGCATTAAACATTTATTTTAAATCAAATGAAAATTAAACCCTTTTATTTTTTGGCAAACAAACTGAGGTTTACTGTTGAAATTAATACATGGAAGAAAAATTGTGTGAATATTCCTTTAAAACATTTTTTTTAATAGGCTAATAATTGTATTATTTGTTTTCTACATTTAAGTGATTAATCTGGTTGTAATATTTATTTGTATCATTTAATTGTTTTATTTAAATTTGATAGAAAATGGAATATTTAAAGATGTACATTTTACTGTACAAAAGTAATACAAGAGTAATATATTTCTGTTACATGTTAAACCGTAC